ATCTTAAAACAGTAATAAACGAACATCTGTGCTTTACATCTGTGATTTACCAACTAAAAAATCAATAAATCTGTTGCATTGGCAGCATGCGTCTGAGTTACATATATTTGATACAGTGTGGAATAGACCCACTGGTGGCAGCGTAAAAAGAGTAAACACATCCAGAGGGTGGACCTGAGTGTTTGGGGAGAACAAACAAGGGACATTGAGTGGATGTGACAAAGTTCTTAAGTACATTAAGAACTGTATATCATTATACAGTTCTTAATGTACTTTGAAACATGCTTTTATACCTTCTTGTACATACAGTTGTAGCAGTAGGGAAAACATGCCTTTTCCCATCCCACATTTATTCGATATAGTTAATCAAAACATATGAGATCACAGATTGTTATAGAAATGGATTTGGCAGCCTTTCCTTATTTAGTTGGACAGAGATATGTCATTTTAATTTTGGATCTGTCTCCATCTATAACAATATATATTTGCTTTCTGAATAATAGTTTGTTATTAGTGGATTGGAGATGGATAAGGTACATTTATGATAACTGTGAGCCATACTCTGTTCTTGTTTCCAAAGTACATCTTCCATTGATACCAATATTAGTATGGAGCAAAGATCATTCTCAAGAACCACAAAAACATGGACTTGGATGTCGTCTCCAATTATGTAGTCTAATTCTCTCTTGTTTGGCAAGACTTTCTAGATCAGGGAACCCAGCCTTTCTGCAGGGACAAGCGTTATATTTTTTTGTTGTTGATATATTGGAGCTTTTTTCCTGCACTCTCCATATGACTGCATTCAACTTACAGTTGTTTTCTAAATACTCAGAAAACCTAGGTCAATTTAATACCGCAAACTTCAAATGCTTTGTTAGTTATTCCCTCTTTACAGAGGAGAGCTAGTTAGAAGGGATGCCAGCTCGCTGCTGGTGGATGAAATCTTTTATTGTATCATCCTTGATAGGTGGCCATCCAGTTTCTGCTTAGAGATATGTGGCAAAGGAAAGCCCACCATCTTCTGGGGCAGTCTATTCCACTGTCACATAGGGAAATAGCTTGTACTATTAGGAAATCCTTGATGTTCATTTGAAACCTGTGTTCTTGTCATTTAAACCCATTCGTTCAGGTCATACTCTGGAGCAACAGACTAAACATTTTCTCCATCTATGTGAGAGCCCTTCAGATTTTTGAAGATGGCTATAACATAGCTGCTTATCTCTTCTGCCGACTAAATGTATCTGACTTTTTCAACCGCTCTTCATAAGACCTGGCCTTCAAATTAGTATTGTTTTAGTATTAGTATTCAGTTTATTCGTAAACTACCATACTTTAATAACAGTTGAAATGGTGTAAAACAATATATATTCTGATATTTGTTATAATTCAAGTTACAAATTGTTTTACACCTTTTCAGCTGTTATTAATGAATGGTAGTTTATATATGTGTGTGTGTGAGATTATTATGATGTTTACTATGAATGGTGTGGTATAAAAAATCAAAGTTCTTTTGCATTTCTCAAAAGGCCTTTTTTGAGTTAGTAGAAAGTCTTCTACTAATAATCACAGATGTATAAAATAAAAGTCTTCTACTAATAATCACAGATGTATTCCAAATCTGAATTTTGGTGCTAATGGGTCCGTTTAAGGTGAAAGGTAGGGTAAATATATATATATATTTTTACCCCACCTTTCTCATATACATATATTAAACAATTTTTTTTACCCCACCTTTCTCATATACATATATTAATGCATGTTCCTAGTTGAATAGGGCCCTTTTCTAAATTTCTCTTTCTGGATTTGTGCAGTTATGCAAAATGTATTTAAATCTGAACACACCTGCTGGGTGACTTGGCATCTGTGTAATGTAATCTTGATTCTCTTGAACTCTTTGAACTTTATTTATTTATTTATTTATTTATTTACTTACTTACTTACTTACTTACGTACTTACTTACTTACTGACTTACCATTAAGAAAACACATTTTAATATGAATTCAAAGTTTCATTTGAGAGGGTGCGCCCAATTTGAATATTTCTTCTGGGGCAAAAGAGAATTTAGTGTTCCGGAACATCTTGTACTCTAGTCTAATTCACTATACTTGCACCTTCTGCATCCTCTTTCTGCTGTCACTAAAGCTTTTATCTGATTTTTTTTCCTTTGGGCATAGTGAAAGGAGCAAAGGAACTTTATTGCTGACTCAATATGAGAAGGTTCACTGTCTAAATACTATATTCTATTTTTCACCACTGGTCCCTTTCTAAGCGGGACCAGCAGTGGTGAAGTACTCATCCCCTCTGTCTTGTTGAAAAGGATCCCAAGGGAATCTTGGAACCTGAGATAATGGAAATAGGTCATTTTTAATTAAGGATAAAAGGATATGGCTAAGGACATCATTGTCTTTACACATGTGGAGATGATTATGATGTTTGCTTTGAATGGTGTTTTTCAGAAAAATCTACTTATTCTTTGTACCCACAGAAACTTTTTTTTAAATGGAGAAAGTACAAGAGGAAAATAAAAAGGAATCCTTTGCTGTAGGAAATATGGGTTATAGAACTACAGTATGTTACCATAAGGTTTGCTTCCTAGGAGCATGGAAAATGACTTGTACATAAAATTCTTGCAAACTACAAAACGTAGGCATGTTCAACTATTTCTTTTGTGCTGTTATAGAGAGACATTGCCAAAAATGTAAAAGAACATCCTTTATCATAAAATGTGAGGGGGAAGACCCTTTTTCCTCTTATATAAGCCCCATCCTACATCTACATGCATATGTGTACATTTGGACTCCACTGATTTTGTGGGGGCTTCTGTCACGTTTATGAGTTGGGCAGTCTCACCTGGCGGCTAATCCAAAATTAATTCTTTTTAGGGTACTTCTGTTAAAATTAATGGACTACTGAGTCTCACTTATTTCATTTGACCTACTCTTGGCCATGTAAATATTAGATTAGCACATAGCCACCAGCTGTTGCATCTGACTACTTGGTTTTACATAGTTGCAGAGTCAGGAAAACATTGCTCCCTGCAGCATCTGCTAAAACAACAGTTTTGTATTAAGATAAATTCTAGGCAAGAGGGGAGTCTCCAAAATACACTAACTACATGACATTTTCTTTATCGTTATTGTTAAAAAGTACTAGGAAAAATAGGATTTTTAACCCTCAATAAGGTGCCTTTCAATTGTGTAAAGTTGGAGTAAATGCAAAGGTGATTTTGTTGTTGTTGTTTAGTTGATAAGTCATGTCTGACTCTTCATGACCCCATGGACCAGAGCACTCCAGGTCCTCCTGTCTTCCACTGCCTCTCGGAATTTGGTCAGATTCATGTTGGTCAGATTCATTTCGTCATCAGCTTCGATGACACTGTCCAACCATCTCGTCCTCGGTCGTCCCCTTCTCCTCTTGCCTTCATACTTTCCCAGCATCAGGGCCTTTTCCAGGGAGTCCTCTCTTCTCATGAGATGGCCAAAGTATTGGAGCCTCAGCTTCAGGATCTGTTCTTCCAGTGAGCACTCAGGGTTGATTTCCTTTAGAATTGATAGGTTTGTTCTCCAGGGGACTCTCAAGAGCCTCCTCCAGCACCACAATTCAAAGGCATCAATTCTTCGGCAGTCAGCTTTCTTTATGGTCCAGTTCTCACTTCTGTACATTACTCCAGGAAAAACCATAGCTTTGACTATTCGGACTTTTGTTGGCAAGGTGATGTCTCAGCCTTTTAAGATGCTGTCTAGATTTGTCATCGCTTTCCTCCCAAGAAGCAGGCATCTTTTAATTTTGTGGCTGCTGTCTCCATCTGCAGTGATCATGGAGCCCCAGAAAGTAAAATCTGTCACTGCCTCCATATCTTCCCCTTCTATTTCCCGGGAGGCGAGGGGATCAGTGGCCATGATATGAGTTTTTTTTTATGTTGAGCTTCAGACCAGTTTTTGTGCTCTCCTCTTTCACCCTTATAATTCCTCCTCACTTTCTGCCATCAGTGTGGTGTTATCTGCATATCTGAGGTTGTTGATATTTCTTCCGGCAGTCTTAATTCCGGTTTGGGATTCCTCTTTGTTAATTTGTATTCCCTTGGGATACAAATTAACAAAGCACAGTTGAAATCAAAGTGGTTCGGACCTCCACACTTTTTAGTAAAACATTGAAAATGAAACTTGTGGTTCCTTCTCTGGCTTGATTTAATCCAGAAATGTTCTCCTCTTTAGCTGGATGATACGAGATAGATAGTATGAATGGTCTTAAAGGCGTGATTATGGTGTAATGAACAGGATGGAAAGCAATGCTTTCACAGATATCTCTGAATGTGAGGAATTCAGTAATTGCTACTTTCTGAGCCAAATGTGCTCTGTGTTCAGTCATGTAGCAGGTGGAATTCTACCTGGCTGAGTAAACTTGCCAAAGTGGGAGACATTTACCACCCAGCCAATTTTCTGAAGAATCTTGCACACTGTTATAGCCTGATTAAATTATTTAAGATGGTGCTTCTTTGCGGTCTGCAACTTCTTGGGGAGTGGGGGAAGCAGACCTGGGAGACAGAAGATGTGATTTGGACAAATGCATAAGAATGTTTTTGTTGTTTTCTTAGGTAGTTCCTTTTGTTTTAGTAACAGCAGGTTGCTAAACAAAAAGGTACTGATCTATTTTTTGTTTTCTTTTGTCAAACTGCCCATTATCTAGTCACTAGAAAGGGTTCTGTAATATTAAAGCTCATCCATTGGTATCCTGTGGATCGTTGTTTCTTATATCTGTAATGGTTTGCTATTTACCAATCAGCGTGCTTCCTGTTGTATTTGCAGATCCATAGGGGTGAGAAACGTGCTTTATTTTTAAATGATGACCTTTTTTAAAAAAACAATTGCGTTCTTAGTATCAGATGCAAAGGGATATGCACATGGAACTGTAGAAACTTAAGGGAGGTGGTATGTTTAGCAGACCTGTGTGGTTGCTGTCATAAAAAGAGCTGTTAGACATATTTCTGGTTTTCCATTAGGTTGCAGTTTTGAAGGAAATTCATATAACAGCTCAGTGTCATGGCAGACCCCAGACAAGCCTTGTATCATGCACCAATGCCAGGTAAGGAATAGAATTAATGTATTTCAAAAAGAATGTATTTTTGGTACAGTATTTATAAATCTTAAGAAAGGAAGAAATGCTATTGTGTATTGATTTATATGGTGAAATTGATTGTGGGTTGAGATTTAAATGAGGAATTTAGAGGTACGTGAAGAATGGAAGGCAACAATGGAATAAGGGCAGCTCTATACTGTATATGTTGTTTTGCTCAGACTTTGCCTCTGAAAATAATAAGAGTATAAAAATCTCCCTGAGGAAACATCCAGAACCTTATGCAAAAGCACTTTTAGGCCAAGAAATGGATTCAAGATGTCAAAAGTAGTGTTCTGAAAACCCTAAAATATTTATATTAAATATGAAAAAAACTTTAGGCTTCGCAAATATTATAGGATATGGCTCAGTGCTATGTATCTACAATACTTTGGGACCAAAGAGGCCAAATGCTAAATCTTTATATTCTCAAAGGCTTTTACAGAACACAGAGTTTTAACTCCTGCCCTCTGAAGATGCCGGCCACAGAGACTGGTGAAACGTTAGGAAGAAAAACCTTTAGAACACAGCCAAACAGCCTGAAAAACCTACAACAGCTAAATCTTTACTTGTTGAATCTTTTAGTCTGAATACATATTTTGAAATATACAGATGTGTACGAGTAAGACATATTCTGAATGCACAAACTTCATTAGATTCAGATAGAATCTTAACCGCATATATGAGGCCAAGAGGTTGAAACTCTCCATTCAGGTAAGATGAGGGGTAGGTAGCCTTGGACTGTGCTGATCAGCTTGTTTTGGATCGCAACACAGTGCCCTTGAACAATGAAGGTCAGAATTTGAAAATCTTGTCAGAGGGCCAAAGTTTTCTGTGGGAAGAATTAACTTCTAACACCTCAGATCAGAGGGCCAGCGTGATCCATTACTTTAGATAATTAGCCTGAACATGGTTATCTAGATTCAGGTAACAGCCTAGTTGAATTGCTTCATTAAATATGGCAGTTTTTGAGATGGTTCAGAATGCAACATCTAGATAGATTATCAGATTGAATATATAGTGCCAATTTAAAAACAGATGGTCTGGCTTTTGAACCACTGGAGAAAATTCAAAGTGTTGAATTGATCTGTATTGTGATCTGGTACCTCATGAAGTAGAGACGTGGTGGCGCTGTGGGCTAAACCGCAGAAGCCTGTGCTGCAGGGTCAGAAGACCAGCAGTTGTAAGTTCGAATCCACGCGACGGAATGAGCACCTGTCGCCTGTCCCAGCTCCCGCCAACCTAGCGGTGCGAAAGCATGCAAATGCGAGTAGATAAATAGGGACCACCTCGGTGGGAAGGTAAACAGCATTCCGTGTCTAAAGCACACTGGCCATGTGACCACGGAAAGATTGTCTTCAGACAAACGCTGGCTCTATGGCTTGAAGAGCGGGCTGAACGCCGCCCCCTAGAGTCGGACACGACTGGACAAAAATTGTCAAGGGGAACCTTTACCTTTACCTTTACCTCATGAAGTATTAAAACCTGCTGCAGAGACCCTTTCTTAGGTCTCACTGTCAGTACATGAGAGGTAGTCGGTGACAGCTGAAGAGCCTTTGTTGTGGTGCTGACTTAGTTGTGGTGCTCTTTCTGAAGGGAGACCCACCTGCTGCCAAATCATTCCTTTAACAGCAATTTATTTCTGGCCTTTTACAGCCTTGCTTGTCTAACCCTACTTTCATCTGACATGTTGCCTTTCTGCTTTGAAAGAATTTGTTGAACCCTCTTATTGCTGCTGCTGTTTTGCTTTTATATTGGTAGCTACTCTTAGAAATTTTTTATAGAGAAACAGGATATTAACTATCCTAAATAATTTTTAAAAAATACATTGAAGCCTAAGCACCATGTTACAGTAAATCATCTTAGTGAGGCACTGCCACAGTACAAAAGTGCACATTTAATTTCTGCATTGCAACATCTGTGGCAGCTTTCTCCTATCCTGACTATCAATTTCTTGTGAGTTTTCATGCATTTTCCTATGTTGTCATGGGCTAATACTCATGGACAAGAAAAATCCACAGTAGTGTGACATCACAATATTAATAAATTGCCCTAGGCATTATGGAGGGGCAGGGAAGAGTTAAATATGTAGAGGTCAATGAAATGCATTGTGGCTGATAAAAATGCACAGTTCTGGTTTTCATATATTTGTCTGTTTCAGTAGCAGAAGTAGTAGGTTCTGCTACTTCCATTTAAAGCTCGTATCTGGAAATTTTTAAGACTTCTCTACCTTCTTTTCCTCTGTGCCTAGGAATGCAAACAGATCCATCAAAAACCAGAAACCTGTGCACAGAGACCCTGTCACCCCCACCCCAACCCTAGGTATTTATCAGGATTTTGGCTTCTGGAGCAGAGTATAGGAAGTGATCATTTACTAGACTCCTATCAGTTGAAACATCAGAGATAAGCAGGTTGTATTCTGCAGGATGAGAACCCTTTATCTTTTTTCATAAGCTCCTGTCTTCTAAGGATCTAAGCTGGAAGGAATGTTTTTATCATGGGTCTTGCCATCAAAGCAAAATGGCCAATTATTTTCACGTTTCCTGTTTGCTAAGGACTTCCGATAACATTTTCATTGTTCTTTCTCTTCTCTCTCTCTTTCTCTGTCTCAAGAGGTTTTATTTGTTTTTTAGGTAGATCTTTCAGGTACAGATTGGAAGGCTCCAGTACTCCTGAAATGGAAACAGAATCTTTGCTTTATTATTTACTGTAATTATGGACCATAGTCTGATGATATTAATTACACACACTTCAGTACAGGGACAAAAATTGTCAAGGGGACACGCACACGCGCGCGCGCGCACGCACACACGCACACACACACACACACACACACACACATAAACAAATTCAAACAATTCATTTATCTTGCTCTCTTTGGCCTGTACAGGGTGGTTTACTTTTATTTTTGAATTGCTAATAACTGTTTGTTGTTCCCTCTGACAGGAAGGAGTGATAACTGAAGCTGAGATTCAGTGCATTGTTCATTGTAAAAATCCTTCAAAGCAGCCAGGAATATGTTGTCCCACATGTCCAGGTGAGAGTTCAAAGACACAGTGCAATATAAATGTAAAATATATGAAAATAGGTGGGTCTGGCTTTTGTATTTTAATTGTTAAGGTACAATATAATGAGTGGGAACTTTTTGGGGGTGGCAGAAGAATAAACAAATTGAAAGACTGTATTGGCCAAGGGTTTTGGAGATGATGGGATATGTAGTGGAGGATATTGAGTTGTGGAATAATATTGTAAAGAATATTTTGTATCTGTCCCTACTGATCTTCATCCACCCCCTTTCCAGATCTCCAGTTTCAGGTCGTTCTGATAGTTTTTTGTTTGTTTGTTTGAAATTCCACTTGATTATATATTTAACTCCTTAACTTATATTGGGTACTTAAGCTTCTCATACTTCCTGTTCATTCTCGAATACAAATCACCAGTGAATATACTGAATGATACAAGAACCAGTAACATTATTCCATACACAGGCAACTTGTGACCAAGCAGTAGGGCATGCCCCTTGAAATTTGAGATGAGGTGACCTCACCCTTAGTCCATGAGCAACCTATGACTCCATGTATTATCTCTGTCTTCATGTGGCTCATCTGAATACTTTGCTAACTTATAGTAATTTATCTTGGATTGGTATGAACATGTGTGGGAGTGTATCGTGGGAGATTCAATCAGAATTCTGGCAGAAGACCAGGTATATTTTGTTCTACTCCCTTTACCTGCTAATCCCTTTAGGGTAGTCTCGCATTCCACTGATCCCTTTCACTTTATATGTCAAAGAGATTTTGTTTGATTGTCACTGAACATAGGATGCTGCGTTCTGCCAAGTCAGAGCTGGGTGTAGATGAAATAGTGTGTTTTGAGTCCAGGTTCTTTTGACATATGTTGAACCATATAATTCTTTACACCAGATTGCTGCATCGTTCTCATTTTTTAAACAAAAAGCCTTAAAATGAACATTAATTTCTGAATGCTATCTGTTCTAATGGAGGCATTGTTGTGCATGCCTCTTCTTAACATATGCCTTTTTTGGGGGCATAATTCTGTCTCAGAATGGTACCACAAAATTCAGAGAAATGTGCAATCTGACAGACAACTGTGTTCTAGTCTGCAGATTTGACCAGTCAGTGCTTTTGCTTAAAATCACAGACTGAATTATACTTGTACTGTATTCTGGAAGGCTTTCATGGGTGGGATCCAATGGTTGTTGTAGGTTTTTTGGGCTGTTTGGCCGTCTTCTAAAAGTTTTTCTTCCTAATGTTATGCCAGTCTCTGTGGCTGGCATCTTCATTTCTAATTCCTGTCCTCTGAAGATGCCAGCCACAGAGACTGGTGAAATGTTAGGAAGAAAAACCTTCAGAACAGGGCCAAACAGCTTGAAAAAACTACAACAACCATAAATTATACTTATTAATTATTAATTTTATTGTTTGCTCTACTTTCTCTCAGGAATGGAAATGAATACAACTCTAGGCTGCTTTTTCAGTCTTTTCTTTTCTCCACCTTTTGCCATCCTTTTCTCTATCATGGGGGCATCACTTTGTCATATATGTAACTGAAGGAAAGTTAGCATCAATAGTCCATGTTTTTCTTTATCATGAGCAATCTCTACCTCATTTTCTCATGGTTTGGGGCACGCATAGATTTTTTCAGTATTCACAACGACTCTTCATTGGTTTGTTCATACTGCAGTTAACACAATACTGTGACTCTGGAACTCCCTCCCACAGGAGGCCAGGCTGCCCCTATCTTTCCACAAGTGGACAAAGACCTTTCTCTTCAGACAGGCTTTCCTTTAGTGACTGGTTGCCTGAGCAGGGTTTTTAAATGGGGTGTCGTGCCTCATTGCTTGAATCTGGTTTTGGTGTTGATTCTTTTTACCATTTTAGTATGATATTTGTTTGACTGTCCATATTTGTATACCTACTGATTTTAGCTTTTAAATACTGTCTTTTAATGATATTAGCCACTTTGGGCTCCTTATAAGGAGAAAGGTCAGGTAAAACTATTTTAAATAAAGCAAGCAAACAAACAAACATAAATTATTCAGGGGTGTTCTACTGGAATTACAGTTGAGATTATGCCTGTTTGTTAAAACCCAAATTCCTGAGATTTAGAATGTATTAAGAAAAACTCTCTGCTTAATGCATTTTAATTAAATTCTTCAACTTTTGTGGCTATGAAGATAACCCTGAAGGCTTATAAATTAGAAGATGATTAATGTGAATTCACATATATGCTCATATTATTTTAAATAATGATTTTATCTGATCTTATGGCTTGCAGAGCTTAGGTAACATTTTTCTTCCGTGGTATTTGTTATTTCAATTGTATTATAATAAAGATTGCAAACACTTCCAGAGTAAGACATACTTTAAAAATGTCTGCTTCTCTCCATCCAGGTTGTATGTTTGAAGGTAGACATTACTATGAAGGTGAGGAATTTCAGCCTGAAGGAAACAAATGCATCACATGTGCTTGTATTGTAAGTGTTCTGCATTGTACCACTACCCATGGTTTTTAAAAAGGCATTACTATAAATTATTATTAGTGTTGATACAATATTGAAAAGAAAGACAGGAACCTCAGATTCTGGGAGTAAAAATCACTGTTGCACAGTTTTGTCCTTTTTGTTTAGTACAAATGTTACTTTGAAAACTGAACACTGGATCTGGTGGTCCAAATTGTTGGTTTAGAAGTTGTTTCTTTCTGACATAGAGATAATCTGTTTTCCATCCAGAAGGTTGTCCATGGAGAACTGCATTCACTAGTCACTGAATCCCAAGCCTAAAGGGTGGAGTAACATGGATAAACAAATCACAGAGACAAAGCAGGCTGAATGTTCACAATGATTAAACCCTTCACTTGAGTCAAATGTGGCAACTTTCGCTTTATTTAGTATATTGTACTGGGAAGAGAGCAGTATATTTGTGAATGAGAAAATACGTTATTAGATATACCTGTACTTTAAATATCTCATATGTAAGTTTGATTCTCACATCAGCCATAGACTGTATTAAAATATTTGCTTTCTATATAAGCTTTCAATTGTGAGGATTGGTTCTCATAGAAGAAGTGGTTGAGAGGCACTATGGTATCTGCTTCTGCTACAAATATTATTATACCACTGTGTTGACATGTAAGCTAGCCAAATTCCATGTTAGTCTTATTTAAAGAAAAACAACAACAAAAAACACAAAAAAAACCCCCAAGTGTGCTGCTTATATACCGCCCCAAATTGCTAAAAGCTCTCTCTGGGTACTTTACAATTTAATTATGCAGGCTACGCATTGCCCCTCCTTCCTGAGATGTGTACTCTCTTTACCAGCCTTGGAAAGATGGAAGGTAGAGTCAACCTTGAACTAACTACTGTACCTGCGCTCAGGATCAAACTCAGGTTGTGAGCAGAGTTTTCATTGCAGTACTGCAGTTTAACCACTGTGCCACAAGGCTCTTGTAAATTCAATGAAATAAATTAGACTAGTTAGTCACAGATAACTTAAGTCCCCTTGATTTCAATTGGTTTACTCCATGCTAGAAATTTTATCCATGGATAGTATTAACTGGGTGATAGTTCCTGTGCATAAAGTAAGCAGAAAATGGTTTTACAGGGTTATATGCTCAGCTACTATCATATGCCTATTTACTGAGTTAGACCCCCCCCCCAATACGGTGGGACATTGTGAGCAGGTCAGCAGCATAGGTATCTCTAGTTGCGGGCTGTCTAGCTCCAGCCCAGGGCTCGAAGAGCGCCGGACCCAGTATTGGTACAGCAGAAATGAATCCCATGACTTTGGAAGGAGAACCTAACCAAGAAGAATGCCATGTGTGGGACAGTGATATCCAAACAGAGGCCCTGCCTGTGGAAACCAGGACAGAAACCCGAGGAGAGAAAGAGTGATCCCTAGGGAAAACGGGGAATGTCTGACCCACAGGGAGTAGGGGATATAAAGGAAGCAGTGGAGGTGGCAGGGGGGAGCTGCTGGAACTGGGAAGCCAGAAACCTAAGAGCAAGGGATCCAAACTGGGTCCCTCAAACTTGAAACTGTAGGGGAAAAGGAAGATGAGGACCCTTACCATCTGGAGGACCCTTACCAGACTGAGGAGGATCTAGAGGAAGACTCCAGCAAGGGTTTTGGTGCAGATGAAGGCATCTTATGAGGAGGATGAGAGGCATCAAAATCCTCACCTCTACCTCACCCTTATTGCTGGTGTGAGAGAAACCCCAACAAAGAACAGCAGCACTTACAAAGAAGTGGAACTGGGGAAAACCGTATCCACCCAGCTCCCGTGCTAGAGAAATGCTAGCAAGAATATAAGTGCCCAGATGGAGGAGGGTGAGGCCGAGAATCAGCCTGTGGCCAGAGCCAGACATGGAGGCAATGATAGGCCTTGCCCATATTGCGGGCATATTACCCTTTACTTCAACGGGCCTTGAGGTTTCGGTCAATGTGCTGTACTACTCAGAGCCAAAGCAGACTTTCACCTTTTTCAGTGGTGTCAGCTAGAGCTGTGGAGAGAACAGATTCAGGACTAGTGCCTTCAACTAACCCTGAAGTCAAGTTGACCAAGGACAATTGTTTGTTTGTGCCCCTTCTCTCAGTTGGAATGAACCCTGTTTTGTTAGAAGTTCCTGTTGTCATGTCTATGGATTGGGGAATGGAGGATGGACCGCCCCCTGACTAGGCCAAGGCCGGCTCGGTTCACATACATACTTTTGAGTAGATAGATATGAGGTTGCACTGCTAACTTAGGGGACAAGCTTAGCTATAACATGCCCCACAACAAAATCTTAACAATGAATAAACATTTTAAATTATTTTGCCAATAGAAGAATTTGGAAGAATAGTTTTATTTTTATTTTAAATAAAACAAAATTCAACAAAACCCCAGTTCTACCCTTTAATTATTGTGATGGATTAAGATCATTAAGGTTGGTGAAAGATATGAATTATTTCATAGATATGGAAACACTTGTTGATTTATTACATTATTACAATGTCCCTGCTTTTTTACGTGGTCTTTCGTGAGTTTGTTATACAGCAGTAATGCACACTTCCTGACAGTCCTTAGATGTTGCCTATCTCAAGGTTTCATGGTTAGAAAGTCCCAGGTTAATGTGACATCCCAAGTGGACGGAATCAAGGGAGGTGGTAAGTTTGCAAATAGCTATCACCTATGACCTTAGGAATAAGGGATTAATAGTTTAAGTGATTTGATTTACTATAAGGCACCCCCTTAGGTAGCCCATATCTTGCAGTGTAGTGCAGAAGTCTTAATTTTCTGACTCCTTAAATTTACCTTCATTGTATCAGACGTCTTCAGAAAGATCATCCCTGACTGATAACTAGCAAAAATTAAAAGAAAGCACAGCGTGTAACACCTTTCTGTTGGCAGTTCTGCACACGACACAGGCATGTTATATAATTTATAAGATCTGCCCCCTCAATGGTTTCATTGAATCATTCAGCACAAATAGATTCAGATCAAATCAGATCTGTAGATGTTTCTGTGCTTTTGCCTGGGGTGAAGTTGGCTGGATCTCCTCTCCAGCACTGTCTTAACTTCATCAAAGGACATGTTGAGTAATATGATTAGTAAATTGCCAGCATTTCCTTCCCCACCCTTTCCACTTCTACCCAAATAAAGCCAACACTCTCAGGATCAGGTGCTTGTCGGGTGGAAACAAAACTGGCAAGCTAGAGAGCTATGAAGTCTTCCTCCTTCAAGCCATAGTTGTCTTCACTTCTGTTTTCTTCACTCCACCTGTTTATTCTCCTTTAAATTATGAGAATTAAGCTTCTTACCAGTGCAATTTAGATCTCAAATGAACTTGGAATCATGGTAAAGAAGCCAGCTGTAGGTTCTTGCACGTGTTTTATGTGGTTCCCCCCTTTTATTCTTAAAAAGGTGAGGAGTTGTAGCAGGATATCTCTTTTCAGAAAAGCAGGGCAGATACCTTGTCTCAGATAACTATATAGTCACAAGATAGCATGAGAACTGGCTTGTGAGTAATAGGCTGCAACATGTGAGGACTTCACTAGGTGATAGGTATTTTCCCCCACCCCTAATTAGATGTCCACTGTGATATTCTAGCTGTTCTGCATGACTCCTGAAAGTAATAAACTGTGGTTGTGGAGGAGGTGGAAGAGGAAGAGAGGAGAAGAGGAAGTCCAAATAAACATTTCTGCAAGGATCTTGATCTTGCCCCTCTCCTTTCAGTTTTGGCGATAGAATAATAGATGGAAAAACACAAGATAGTTGTGTTCAACTATAAATTTCTTTCCAAGGAATATCTGACTGTTAATGCCTGGAATAGCATAGCAGCATACTTAGAATAAACTAGAACAACTGAACTAAACAAAATGAGTTCATTTTAATACAGGCACGCAGCTTGCTTCTTGCCTGCTGACTTGGAGCCAGAAATGGAAAAGGCTCCCATTTTGGCCTGCTCCAGACAGGATGGCCACTGGTAATTCTGGCCAAGGTGTTCCAGGAGTCATAGCTCAAAAATACAACATTCCCCACCATTGTTTGGCCCAAGAAGTTATAGATTAGCCTAGGATTAAAACCTTTCCTGCCATCCACCTCCCTGTGCTGTCACAACATCATTCTGTATCAAGGTATAGTTCATGCTGAGATGCACTATTGGATAATTTAGTTAATTACATTTATCGTTAACAGAGTATCAGATACAAACAACAATTCCATACAGAAATCATGAGTGAATAGCTTAAGTCTAAGTAGCCCACCCCTTTTCACAGTGATTAACATTTAATGTGTTAAAAACCACTCTGGAAGCATCTTAAGTGAAAAAAGGATATCTTTACTTACAGTTGCTGTTTATAGTTATAGTCAGTAGAAAAAATTAAAAAATTGAGTCTCCACACATGGGAGAGATCACTTCATGCTTCCTGCATGCTTGGAAGTCAGGAAAGGAGAGAAAGACTAACAAAGTAAATGGGAAGCAAACAAACAGGAAGAGGGGGCAAGCCAGGTGGGTGGGGGGGAAGAGAACTTTACCAATAGTTTAGTGGGAAAGGAAAATTCCTTTAGGTCCTAAAAGCTCCCCTCCATTAATATCTAGTGTTAAAAAGCATGCAAGATTATTATTATCTCAACATTTGCAACCAGTAGTGCCTTGTGTTGCTGTTTACTAGTCGTGGAAGCACAACGTTGTGTGATGGCGATGCATGCACAGTTTCAGAACTGCAGAAAGCTGCCTTATTTTGAGTAAGTCTAACAGTCAATCTTGTTCACTATTATCTGAGCTGAACAGCAGTGTCTTTCCTAGCCCTACCTGGATACGTATGTCAGAAATAGAACATTGGGTTTACTGTATGCACAGCTGCTGTTCTGCTGACAAACTGAAACCATCCATTTTTCTTTCTGTCTTTTGGCTTTGGCTGCGCTTTAGTAGTATGAGGCTTGAAAACAGAGAAGTGCACCTTTGTTGATCTTCCGGTTCCAGTGCTAAACATTTTG